GCGTTTGTGTGTGTATTTTCATTACTGGCACAATTTGATCTCTATACTACGTGTTCAACAGTCTTAGCTGTTAGAATCAGAACATCATTACAGTACATACCAATAAACGAACGATATACGATTCGCAGTTCAATAAGGATAGTCTCCATTGTGCATTTACAGCAGATAATATTCATTCTAATATGCATTATTAACTACTACTAAATGTGCGAGTACAAGTCTCAACAGATTCGTAATCCATTGAGGATAGTCTCCATTGTGCACTGACAGCAGATGATATTCCTTTGATATGCAAAATGATCTACTTTTGAATGTGCCGTGTGTGAATACAGATCCCAACAGGGAGTACCTGTAAGTGCAGACAAGAATCCTGATATAGAGCCCGTTGCCATGCCAACAGGCACTGGCACCTTGGCCGCATCCGCCACAACGGTGGGCGATGTAGCCACTCGTCGTACATTCGATACAGCACTGTTGGTGGGATGATACGTTTGTGTACATGCAGGCCTCTCACTCATCCGCGCTGACGTACCTCGCTGCATAGCTGCGAGTGTGCGTCGCTGTGTTTGTATTGTACGTGTGGGCATTAGGGATTTGCATTGTGCATTGAATGTGCCGACAATGCTTCTAAGGCCAGTGATACCTTTGGATTGTGTAGTGCCATTGTATGTGAGAGAGCGGGGTGCAACACAGCATCTCCGCCAACTCAGGGTCTGCATTTTAATCTGTTGGTAGTCAAGTCTTTGATACCGTGCTGACTCCTCAACGACGTTTTGAGCACACACTTGGAGAAGCTGTAAGTGTGTGTAACTTGACAGGCGTGTCTGTACTGTGTGCGTTCAAACCCACCGGAAACTCAACCCAAAGTGTTCGCATTCACACCCAGGGCCCACTCGCCCAGCCATTTGCATCTGATAGTAAATACAAGGAATTTCAACGGAAGCTCACCTGTGAACAGAACCAAAAAATAAGTAATATGTAATATGTATGAACACTTCTGTGGCAATTGGCATTGACACTGTCACTGGCATTGACACTGTCACTGGCATTGACACTGTCACTGGCATTGGCATTGGCATTGA